GTGGAGAAAATGGTGTGGAAACTGGCGGCAGCACTAGTGGAGCTGCTGGACCCGAGGGAGGAGAGAAGCAGCAGGAAAAAACTAAGAAGCCGAAGGGTGTCGTTATGAAGGGATGGGAGACACCCGTCTCCAGGCCAGGACGTACCCGTATGGCTACTAAGAAGCTGACTGCAGGAACTGATGCAGCAGAGCAGCAGCTAGGGACCGAAGAGGCATTGCTGATTCTACCTCATGGCTATGACCCGGATGAGGAGGATGAGCCTGCGTACTGTTTTCTTGCCCCTGCACCAGAGGAACCAGCTAGCATGGAGGAGGCATTAGCTGGACCAGATAGGGACAAGTGGCTGGCTTCTAGGGATGCTGAGTACCAGAGTCTGCTGGAGAATAGGACATGGGATCTGGTGGTGCTGCCTGATGGGAAGAAAGCGATACAATGCAAGTGGGTGCTGAGGATCAAGACCGATGACAAGGGGCAGGTCACCATCTACAAGAGTAGGCTGGTGGCGAAGGGGTTTATGCAGAAGGAGAAGCAGGACTTCAACGAGATCTTTGCTCCCACTGCCAAACCCCCTACCCTCCGTGTCTTGTTGGCAGATGCAGCTGTTAGTGGGAAATTCATCATTCAGATGGATATTTCAACGGCATTCCTGAATGGGATTTTAGAGGAGGATGTGTACATGACGCAGCCGCCTGGGTATGAGGATGGTACGGGCAGGGTGTGCAAGCTCAACAAGTCCATCTACGGCTTGAAGCAGGCGCCACGCTGCTGGTACCAGAAGTTGGCAGCTGTTTTAGAGGAGATGGGATTCAGGACCAGCAGCTGTGATGAGAGCCTCTTTCTCAAGGGCGAGGGGGAGAAGCTGGTGCTGTTTCTGGTCTATGTGGACGACATTCTTCTCTTCAGCAGCAGCATGAAGGAGATCCAGAAAGTGCAGCAGCAACTGATGGAAAACTTCAAGTGCAAGAACCTTGGGGAGGTAAAGTACTACCTCGGGATGCACGTGGAGAGGGATCCAGATCACATGTGGTTGAAGCTGCACCAGGAGAAGTTCATCAAGGAGCTGGGGGAGAAGTATGGGATTGAGAATGGGCGCAAGGTTGCAACTCCCCTGCGAGCAGAATTCAAGCTAGTGGAGGCTGCAGAGGATGAAGGGGTTGAAGCTGAAGAGCAGCAGCAATTTCAGTCCTTGGTGGGCAGCCTCTTGTACGCAGCAGTTCACACGAGGCCCGACATCTCTTTCTCGGTTGGGCAGCTGGCTAGGGTGGTGCAGAATCCATCAGAGGAGCAGGTGGATGCAGCTGAGCGTGTGGTGAAGTACCTGAACTCTCACCCAAGCATTGGAGTTCAATACTCCGCATCTGCACAGGTGAAGCAGAAAGGGGTGGAGGTGCTGAAAGAGAAGGGGGAGAGGCTTGGAGAAGGCAAGCTATTTCTCACTTGCTTTACCGATGCTACATGGGCTTCTGAGAAGGAGGATTCCTCATCTGTGGGAGGATACATCTGCGTAGTTGGGGGAGGACCTGTTAGTTGGAGGTCCAAGAAGCAGACGGAGACGGCACTCTCTTCCGTAGAATCAGAGTACATGGCGATGTTCCATGGGGTGAAGGAGGTGATTTGGCTGAGGAGGCTGTTAGAGGAGATTGGCCAGGAGCAGAAAGTTGCTACGCCGCTGTTTTATGATAGCAAGGGGGCTCTTGGGATGGCCAGAAACGCTGTGCTTCATGGGCTGAACAAGCACATGCGTATCAAGTGGCACTGGCTGCGTAAGGAGGTGAAGAGGGGGACTGTGAATCCAATCTACATCAAGACTCACCAGCAGCCAGCAGACTTTCTCACCAAGAGGCTTGCGGATGAGCCTCATTGGCGTTGTGTGCGCATGAGTGGAATGAGCATGAACTAGCATGGAATGACGGGGATGCAGCCGGCAGGCTGAGGGGGAGTGTGTTGGGTGCAAATGCACATTGCACGACATCCTGCCGTCTGTTTGTACGAGTATGCGTATGCATTTGCGTGTGAATGGTGTGTTCGTGTGTTTGTTTGCTTTCGCATTTTTCGCTTGATGCATTTGCAGGTACTCGCGCAATGTGCGCTTCGGCACAACATTGTACGCGCTATGAACAGTGCAAGCAGAAAGGACGAGCTCGCAAAGGAACCCAAGATGGAAGCTTTGCAGTTCGGTTGAGTTGATTGCGCAGATTCAGTTCTATCCAACTCGAAATTGTACTGTTTTGTTTGGTTAACTATAGTGTAGCAGGGAAGGCACTATAGGGGTACAATTTAGGTGAAGGTTGGATGTTGTTTGTCTGTATCTGCATGCTACAAGGCCAGGGGAAACCAGCGGAACCAGCATTTGGCTGGTTGGGCAAAGACAAAACAGGTTCTGTTTTTAGAACCTGAACCTGGTTGTTGTTTTCCCAGGTTGGAAAAACAGAACCAGAGGTTGTTTACCAACCTACCACCTGCTATTTTGTCCAGCCAGGTTGGTTCTGTTGCTTGGAATTATTTGGGATCATCCCTGGTTGTTCCCAGGTTGATTCCCAAGGTCCTTGCTAGCTAGAACTATTTAATCCTTCTCTGTTTGTACCTGAATATAGTCAAATTGATTCATGCGAATTCCTTCCTCGCTGGAATTTCGTTTCTGCGCTATTCGACGGCGGAATGCTACCCGAGTCAACGCTAGTATGCTAGCACTCCAACGCTAGGCAAACGCTGTCCGAGCCATAACTTAGTAATGGCAGAACTTTTCGCGAGGCAACTTGGCTCATTTTAAAGCTCTTGGAGCGAGCTTCGATATAGCGAATTCTCAGCTTAATCCGACCGACGGTCTGCACGGCACGCTGCGCGACGTTCAAGGTGCTCTTGCTGTTTTGACTAAGTCCTTCTTGATCCCTCTCTCTACAAACTCGGACCCGAGGATAGGGGCTGGTCTTGTACCAGGCACCCAGGGACCCTTGGAGGTGACCCCGAGGAGAGGTTTTAAGTTTGATTAAGTCCTAATAGCTTGAGTTTATTAGGCCCTTACACCAACAAATGTGAAACCCTAAAGGGGCTATACCCCATATTGGCTACCCCACTACAGCCTAGACATATATAGCATATGTATAATTTGACACACCCCCATAGGTAAAGTGGGGGAGAGCAAGGTGTCACAAGACCAGTCAAGAGAAGCAAAACAAGCTAAGGGTGGAGCACAACGTCACCACACACTGAGCACAATAAAAGGGCCACAAGGCCAGTTCACATGCAGAGGTATATGTGCAACAACAACATCACAGTGATCTCTACCCAGCAAGAGCAAGCATGCAGGTATATATATATAGATAGATCACAGTACAAGCAAAGCCTAGAGCAAGTGAGGAAACGTAGGCATAAGGCCCAACAAAGTACAAAAGCGCTGATGATCACCAGATGGAAGTGCCTTGGTGAATATATCAGCAGTGTTGGCCCGAGTGGCCACGTGAGCAAGACGAAGCTGACCACACTGCTACAACTCTCGAGCCAGGAAGTAACGCAGAGCAATGTGCTTCGTTCTGTGCTCTAGTCTGTGCTCCTGACTCAAGGCAATGGCGGCCTTGTTGTCGACGTACAGCACTAGAGGAGAACGAGGCCGCTCTCCCAAGTCGGTCACCAGGTAGGTGAGCCAGCGTAACTCCTGAGCAGCTATGGCTGTGGCGTAGATCTCAGCCTCGCAACTGGAGATGAGAACAGAGAAAGAGCGTGTAGACCGCCCAAAAACAGAGCCAGAGCCAAGACTAAAGGTGTAACCTTGTGACGATTGCTGCGTAACCAGATCGTCAACCCAAGAACCGTCAGAGTGATCAGTGAGGACAACGTCGCCCCGTCCTCCTAGCACGAGTCTCCTGCCCAATGTACTACACAAGTAGTGCAACACCCTCTTAGCAGCATCCATGTGCACCTTTCCGTGCCAACCAGGAGCCACGTAGCTAGCCAAAAGGCCAAGAGGGTACGCAAGGTCAGGGCGAGTGCAGGTCATCAGGTACATGAGGCAGCCCACTAGCTCTGGGCAAGGACCACTCGGCTCTACGGACTCGTCTGAAGGTGGAGCTGAGAGCGAGTGACCTGTAGACAGAGGAGTGGACTGTATCGAGGACCAGGTGAAGTCGAAGTGCTGAAGGACCTGCTGCACCATGTGCGACTGAGTCAGTGTGATGCTGCGGCGTGCTCTGTCCTGGGTGATCTGCAAGCCGAGGTAACTGCGCAGCTCACTTAGATCTGTGCACGTGTGTCTCTTCTGCGACTTCACCAGGGCGAGAGCCCCAGTGTCAGCAGTGGCAAAGACCAAGTCGTCGACGTACACAAGGATGTAGAACGGCGGCAGCGAAGTGTCGGTGCGCAGAAACAGCGACGGGTCAGCAATCGAAGGAGAAAACCCAAGAGGCGCCAGTGTCGTCCTCATTGTGTCATGCCACTCACGCGGCGCCTGGCGGAGACCATAGACTGGCCGCCGAAGGCTCCACTGGGTACCAGGAGGGAATGACCCAGTGAAGCTAGGTGGGCGGCGCAGCCAGATCTCCTCGTGCTGGCAGCCCTGTAAGAAAGCTGTGCTGAGGTCAAGAGAGTGAAGCTCGTAGTCTGAGCGGCAACGTGCAGCAGCACCTGAAGAATGGTCATCTTCGGGGTGGGGGAGAAGGTCTGGAAGAAGTCAACTCCCTCCCGCTTACTGAAGCCTCGAGCAACGTAACGAGCCTTGAAGACAGGCGGAGAACCTGGCGGCCGCCTCACCCTGAAAATCCACATGCCATCGACGATGTTCGCTCCAGGAGGGGGAACCTCATCGACGTAGGTGCCTGTGGACTTCCATGATGCCATCTATGCGTCCATGGCTGTCTGCCATTGAGAGGAGTAGGGACCCGAAATCGCCTCAGCGTAAGAGCGCGGGGCGGGATGTCTGGTGCATCCGGGTCTCCCCTCGGGCAAGCAACATGGCCACGAGATGAGGCGCAGCGGCTGCAAGACACTCAATGTCCTCCTGCCCGTCCTAACGGACGTACGTGCCAAGAGCACATTCACCCTCGACGGACGGAGGACAGACAGACTCAGATTCAGCAACAAGACTAGCAGCGTAGTCTAGACGACAGGCAGCAGCAAAGTCAACATGCTCAGCGACTAAGGCAGACGCAGCAGCAGACTCAAACGACGGATCAGTGACAACAGTGGCTAACAGACGCGTGACAGTAGGGTGTGCAGCACGAAACCAGTCAGACTCAGGGTCCGCAACGTCAGGCAGAGAAGATGCAGGAGGAACACGCTGCGGAGCAGATGAAGGACACAGCGCCATGATGTGTGTGCCGGGGACAGCCGGCGGACGCGGACGAGGAATACGACCACCAGTACGACCCGTGCGGACAGCGCGAACAGGTGAGACAGGACGCGACGCAGGCTCACCACGCTTAGCAAGACCTCCTGGCTGCTCAGTGTAAGGAGAAGGAGCAGGTAGCGGTGAGCCAGGCTGTAACGGAAGACCAGTAGACGACGGGAGGCTAAGAACATGGCGAAGTACAGAGTCAGGCGGTGGCAGAGACGACGGAGACGGCGGAGCGAACAACAGTCGTGGCTGCGCAGTGCCACCAGCACCAGCACCTCCAGCACCTCCAGCGGCTTTAACACCAAAAGCAGCTCCAGCACCCCCAGCGCCAGCACGTCCAGCAGCTCCAGAACCTCCAACGCCAGCACCTCCAGTACCAGCACCTCCAGCAGCTCCTGAACCTCCAGCTCCAGCGCCTCCAATAGCTCCAGAACCTCTTGCGCCAGTTCCTCCAGCTCCAGCACCTCCAGCAGCTCCAGAACCTCCAGCTCCAGCGCCTCCAGCGCCAGCACGTCCTGCAGCTCCAGAACCTCCAGCGCCAGCACCTCCAGTACCAGCACCTCCAGCAGCTCCAGAACCTCCAGCTCCAGCGCCTCTAGCGCCAGCACCTCCAACAGCTCCAGAACCTCCAGCTCCAGCACCTCCAGTACCAGCGCGACCAGTAGCAGCACCCCCAGAGCCGGCACCTTCAGTCCCAGGGTCTCCAGCCTCAGTGTCGACAGCAGCACCTCCAGGTTCAGAAGTACCTCCAGCCCCAGCACCTCCATTACCTCCAGTACGAGCACCTCCGGGACCAGCGGCTCCAGTAACTCCATGCTCAACATGCTCAGACTGAGCAACCCCAACACCGACACCCCCAGCTCCAGTAACGTCAGCAGAAACGCCTCCAGTAGCAGAGGCACCAGCTCCAGCAGCGCGACCCTGACGGCTAATGTACCACTCACGCAGCTGCTATGGGGAGAGAGGGACAGCGCCAGCTCCAGTGTCTCCAACGCCAGCGCCTCCCGCAGCAGGGCCCCCAGCTCCAGCAGCGCGACCCTGACGGCTAACGTACCACCCACGTAGCTGCTGTGTGGAGAGAGGGACACGCCGACGAGAGGGCTGCGGCGAGGCACCAGCGGAGCGACTGCGGAGGCGGCCACTCCAAGGAGACTGCTCACTAGGCGCCTCAGTGCCCCCAGGCGCAGCACCCCCAGACTCAGTACCCCCAGGCTAAGCACCCCCAGACTCAACACGCCCAAGCTGAGCACCTCTAGGCTCCTCACCCTCAGGCTCAGCACCCCCAGGCTCCTCACGCTCAGGCTCAGAACCTCCAGGCTCCGCACCCCCAGGCTCAGCACCCCCAGAAGCAGCACCCCGAGCAGGACCACCCCCAACAAGACCTGAGTCACCAGTGACCTCAACCGGCTCAGTCAAGGGAGGAGGGTCTACCTCAGACACACCTGAAGGAGCAGGACCTGGAGCGGGGAGGGGGTCTACCTGAGGAGGACCTGCAGCGAGAAAGAGCGGCGGGGGGGGGAGAGGGGCAGTGCGGTAGCGAAAGAGACGGTAAAAGGGGACCGACTCGTCAAAGGTGACATCTTGAGATGCAAAGACACGGCGCGAGGTGGGGTCGTAAAACTGCCAGCCAGGCGCGTCAGGGGGAAAGCCAAGGAAGACACAGGGAATGGCGCGAGCAGAGAGCTTGTCCGCGGTGAGATCGCGGACAAAGGCACGAGCATTCCAGACCCAGAAACGCGACGCATCGCCAACCTTCCCCGTCCACAGCAGTGTGGGCGTCTCCGGCAAGGAGACATGGGGCCAGAGGTTGAGCTGATGTGCAGCGTACCGGACCGCAAACGGCCACAGAAAAAGGGGGGCAGCCGCATGGATCATGGAGGTACGAGCGACCTCCAGGACACCGCCAATGCGGCGTTCAACAACCCCATTCTGCTGTGGAGAGGCCGGAAGCGTGAACGATTGGCGAATGCCGTGCTCCTCACAGAAGGCTCGCAAGAGGTCGGAGGTGAACTCACCACCTCTGTCAGAGTGCAGACGCAAGACAGGAAAGTCTGACTGGAACCGCTCGCGGAGCTGGAGACGAACAGCGCGGATCCAAGGGATCAGAACAGTAGGAACATCCCCCTTGCTGCGCAAGGGGAAGACCGTGGTGTAACGCGTGTAGTCGTCGACGACCAGCAGGAAGTACCGCTTGCTGCCCTGCCCCTGGACGCGGGCCGGGCCCCACATATCCAGGTGGAGGGTCTGCAGTGGAGCCTCTGTGGGAGGGAACGAGGAGGAGTGAGGAGCAGCGCGCTGCCGCCCCTCGACGCAAGGAATGCAGGGCGGCGCAGGCGAGGGAGGGAGGGCGGGCAGAGACCAAGGAAGACCAGAGACCAGTAGGCGAGAGTGCATGCCACGAAGGCGGGGCAGGGAGGGGTGACCAAGGCGGTGGTGCCACAGGAGAGTGTCATGCGACAGGCGGCGACACTCACACTGGGTAGCTACCTGAGCAGACGCATACAGCTGAGGAGACAAAGGGGCGTAGTGCGACAAAGCGGTGAGGGTGTACAGACTGGACCCAGGCGCACGTGTGAACGTGGCCAGGTGGCTGCCGGTCTGAGTGCACGTGCAGTGCGTCACACGCTGTCCTCCAGGAGTAAAGGTGTCAACCCAGTGATCCTGAAGGACGGCGGTGCTCACCAGGTTCGTAGAGAACCAGGGGAGGTGGAGACCTGACAGCTCACCGGACGGGACTGCCGGACACGCGAGTACAGTGGATGAGCGAGCAAGCACTGGGCCCCCAGAGGTGTCAGCCAGTGAGACAGGGACAGGTGCAGCGAGGGGAGTGACTGTGGTACTGTCGCGAAAGAAGCAGGGGGAAGCACCTGAGTAAAGGGTGAAGGTGTACAAGGCCTCAGCAGGCGCAGTACCAGAGAGAGCAGACTCACTAGCACCTAGAGCAGGAGCCGCTATACCAAGGTCAGGGGGCACATACAGGTAACAGTCACCCTCAGTATTACCATTCAGAGCATACGTGGCAGTAAGGACAGTGTCATAGTCTAGCCAGTGGGGGAGCTCAGTCTCGTCACCAAACACAGCATGCCAGGCGTCACTCAGACGGGTGAAGCAGCGCGCCTGTGTGTGAGAGAGCGTCCCGCAAGTCTGACCAGCCTGATCACCTGTGCGAATGACGTACGGGCAGCGGGCAGGACTCCTAGACCCCCCTTTTTGAGCGTACCACTCATGAAGCTGCTGGCGCGTAAGGGTCTCGCTCGGACGTCACTGCAGCTACACCAGGCCCCCGCCAGAAACTTTCAACTGACTAGCCGCACCGCGACTGCCACTACTGCCGCCGCCACTACACCTACGAGCGTACCAGTCACGAAGCTCCTGGGGCGGAAGGTTCTCGCTCGGACGTCGCTGCAGCTGCACCAGGCCACTGCCAGAAACTCCCAACTGACTAGCTGCACCGCGACTTCCACTACTGCCACCGCCACCACACCTACGAGTGTACCACTCACGAAGCTGCGCGGGTGTAAGGGTCTCGCTCGGACATCACTGCAGCTGCATTTGGCCGCCACCAGAAACTCCATGCCGAACAGCTCCAAAGCGACTACCACTACGGACGCCATCGCCACCACCGCTCCCACTGCTGCCGTGAAGAGAAGTCATGCGACCAGCAGGGCAGGCCGTAGGGGAGGAAGGGCGGCAAGGAGGCACTAGGGTAAGTCAAGGTTGTGCACGGTCAGGGAAGGGCGGCTCTCGGCCAGAGTAGGGCGGCGCGCGGCCAGGTAAGGCGGCCCACGAGGTAGCCGCGGGCTGCGCAAGCGGCAGAGGCAGCGCGCGCGGAAGAAGCGGGCCGCGCAAGGGCAGCTGAGGCTGCGCGCTGGGCAGCCGCGGGTTGCGTGAGCGGCTGAGGCAGCGCGCGGGGCAGCCGCGCGCTGCGCGGGCGGCGAACGCGGCGCGCGGGGCAGCCGCGGGCTGCGCGGGCGGCGGACGCGACGTGCGGGGCAGCAGCGGGCTGCGCGGGCTGCGGACGCGGCGCGCGGGGCAGCAGCGTGCTGCGCGAGGACGGCAGCCACGGCGCGCGGGGCGCAGTGGGCTGCGCGGGCTGTGGACGCGGCGCGCGGGGCAGCAGCGTGCTGCGCGCAGGTCTAGGGCAGCGCGCGCGGGCAGCGCAGCGCAGGAAAGGTAGGGCGCGCGCGGGCAGTGCAGCGCAGGCAAGGCAGGGCGCGCGCGTTGGGCGCAGCGCAGGCAAGGCAGGGCGCGCGCGGGCAGCGCAGCGCCGGCAAGGCAGGGCGCGCGCGTGGGGCATAGCGCAGGCAAGGCAGGGCGCGCGCGGGCAGCACAGCGCAGGCACGTGGGGCAGCTCAGTAACCGCAACGGTAGGTCGTACGGACCTACTACTCTGAAACCATGTCAGATTGTCTATGCAGGAATGAATGGACTAGCAGAAGGTGGAGTACAAATATGAAACCCTAAAAGGGGCTATACCCCGTATTGGCTACCCCACTACAACCTAGACATATATAGTATATATAAAATTTGACAACCCGCACCATCACCACCATATCCGCCGAAACCTGACCCCAGAGATAGCTCATCCGACTTCGGGATTGGAGCCATGGGGATCTGCATATTTGAAAACAGGTGCGATTAGTGAGCAGGTGACAATGAAAGTCATCGGAAGTATCCACAGCATTGTTGATGCATCCAGATGCTTGTGAGTTAAATGCAGGCATGCCCAGCCCGCCACAACACTCGAAAGTCTCAAACAGACATGGATATCAGTCGGCAATAACCTCAACGGTCCTCTTAAATGTCCTCCAACGACGGCATTTGCTGAACTTGAAACTGAACAACTTGTGTAACAACTTGTGGAACGGATCCTCCAGGACCTCGGAATGACGGTAAAGGTTTCGTAACAACTCCACGCGGGCCGTATACCTGTAGAGTGGACTCTAAAATTCTCAGAAGCTCGACTACACAGACCTCTGGACTTATGTGCGGAGTAGGCATACACAGGGAGCTAGCAGCGCCGTTAAGGTTGTCACACGGGCTATTTCCCGTGGAATCAATACTCCAAACTACCTGAGCAGATGCTGAATCACCTGCGGAGTGAACATCAGAGGGGACCTCGCAGCGCCGCTAGGGCTGTCAGGCGGGCTGTTCCCTATGCAGTCGTTGGAGTGCGACCGACCAAGTCGCGACGCCAATCGTCGACCACTCTCAGGCACCGGCCGCCCTTCCATGCTGCTGCGACCCTTATCGCGGCCTTGTGTGTTCTCCATTGTCGCTTGTCGATGATGATGGTAGAGCGAATAAACGGTAAAATCAACCAGCTCCTATTGCTGGTTCCGATGCAAGAGGAGAAAGTGGAAATGTTCGTGATAAACGAGCTCTACAAATATCCCACCGCAGTGCAGACCTTAAACTAAAAACCTAATACCTAAGTTATACCATACTAACTGTTATGAGTTGTGAAAGGAAGAGTGCGCAGAACTCAATAATGCGGAAGTGATTACAACGTCTGAGAAAACAACGAGGCCTAGGACTAATATAGCAATGCTAGCGAGGGCGAGATCGCGGGGTCGCGAGATGGTTAGGTGCAGGTTCGGGGTTGGAAAACCCGAAGGCGACGCGGTGATGGTTCGGAAGGCGAGGTCGGCGGACCGAGCCTGGTTTTCCGAAAATCGGGGTTGTACGCGTACAGTGTGACCCAGTAAGGAATCCGAAAAATTCCTTACACTAACAAATCAAGTAACGTATGACTAAATTAGGAGCAACATGCACTTGTCTTCACTCGCCAGGCTGGGCTTGAGAAGGTTCAGATGATTCAGAGGTGATATTCTCTATCGACGGTTGGAACCCACCGTGGAGGCACATTAACGGACGAGATGCTCTGCTGGTGCTCAAAGAAGGAAAGTCCTTTTGATTTTGCCCTGGATAACGCCTTAGGGGGCGTAACCGCACCTCGACTGGGAAGATGTCAGTCAGATCCCTCCAATCCCCCCCTTTTGCCCCTGTGAGTATTCCCTCAAGGGATTTCTTTTTTCCCACAGTCGCCTAGCGAAGCACGCGAGGGGCGGGAGCCGACCCCCCCGCCCGCCCGAACCGACCTCCGCTAGCTCGGAGTGACGCGATGTGGTCCCCACTCGAGCTAGCTCGGAATCCGTCAATACTTGACGGAAAGTGGTGCAGAGAAACCGTGGCAGAAATGCGCCACAGAGCAGTTCGATAGAAGGCATAGCTAAAACAGAAATCAAAACGCATTATGTAAACTAACGAAAACAGAAAGATACGTGTTAACGACAGGAATTTCGTACGATGTAGGGGGGCCCGATGTCGAAGACTACGACGAGGGAAATGCACTGCCTCGTATAACGTCACGCTGTCAAAACCAGCTATAAGTTGACTGGAATGACGTGCACAGTGGAAGGACCCTATATCGAAGATGGCTCTACGCCGCTAGGAATCCCCTGCGCTTTAGAACGCACCGATGTCGAAATATGTGTTGCGTTGAGACGACATAAAAGGAGTTGCTGTCAAAGAAGACCCGACGATGACTGATTGTCGTATGTTAAGTACCAACTTTTTCAGGTAGCGTAAGAGTCATACAAATTATGAAAGCTGTAGCTTATATATTTCAGGGAAATTGCGCCGCTCGATGGTTTCCGCGTCGAATCCAAATGGTGACTTACCAAAATCTAGAAACCGCCTCTTCTATCGCCAATTTCCTTCATCGCTCGACGTTCAGGGTAAACCACAACTTTCCCGAAAGAGAAATTGGTACTGTCAAATGGATTATCTCTGTTCGACAGGAAGTACTGCAGCACTCTCTCGACAAAATGTGAAAACGTGAGGGCAATTTGGACTGTCGAGCTGACGTACTAACTACTATGCTTAAACATTAAGTGGTAGCTGATTCTCGTGCTCGACAGAGTTTAAACACTGAGAAACGAAACCCTTAGGGCGTGTGTCTTTTGGAGTGTATTGTAAAGTTCATGTTTTTTTTTGCGACTTTATACATTTGAACCTTGGTCGACCTGTAGTCGATTATCCCGAAAATTTTTCCTTCTTTTTTCACATCAAGCACATGGACCAACAAAGTTCGACTGTCGAAGGTCGAATTGATACAGTAACTCCCGAGTCGCGCCTACGTTTCGTAGGTTACCTGGTCTATAAAAAAACGTTCGTGACCGAATCCGACTTCGGTAGCTTGTTACGACGCAGTTCGTGTACGTCGC